CAGTCATGCTGTGCTGTGCCATGACATGTGCTGGTGCAGGCAGCCTAAATCTAGGGCAGCAGGAATATATAGAGCACTGAAATGAATTACTGAAACTGAGCTACTGTTCAGAATATAGAAAACATAGCAGGAAGTCAGTGAGTAGATTTTTCTGAAATATATAAACACAAGGAAACGTCACTGGAAGAGTATAGGTGACTGAGGCTGCTCGCAAGCTACTCTGCTTGTATCTCACAGCTCAGTGTGCATTTTGTGTTATAAATGCAGATGACCATGCTGATGTGAATTCAACACATGCGTAAATAAGTGGTTAAAGATTTTGACTATGTGTGGTAGCTATACTTGGGAAAGACGTGTCAGATTCCTGAAATGCCTTCTCAGGGTAAATCTTTACTCTTTTCTGACTGTAGTTCAATCAGTTCAATGTCAAGTTTCTTCTCTGCTGCAACCCACTGCAGAGACAATAGAGAAAGATGCAACTTCATCTTTTGGACCAGAAGTGTGTCTCTTCTTTTTTTTTTTTTCCTGTGGGATATATTGGCCATTTCCTTTATTAGTTCATTAGTTCTGGTTACTTTGAACTACCTGTCGATGTTGAAAGGAAGCCAAGCTGTATGAGAGTCCATTTAGAACCACTTAAGGCACAAGCTGTAGATCTGGTCTTGACTTTGTCATCCATAATTGTTGGAGTTTCAAAGGGTTAGTTAAAACATGCATTTTTGTTGAGCTCTCCAAAATAGACTTTAGAGTAGGGTTGCAAATTCTTATTGATTTTTCTTTTTGAGCCCATTTTCTCCTTTCCCCTTAGCTGAAAGTGACCTTAAAAAAAAAAAAAAATCTTCTAACCCACATGACATTTCTCAAAGTGTCTTGGTTTTACTTTCATCCAGAGATGAACTTGCCATATTAGCTCATGCTTCCAAGATTGAATCTACTACTGATTTATCTTTGGGAATTGTAAGATGTAATCTTCCATTGTTATCAAAATGCAGCTTGTTGCAATGCAAGTCAAATGCAGCACTGCTGTGAGAAATGCCTAGTAAAACAATGATGTTGATTATTGTTTACATTAAGAATTCCAAGTCTGTCTTGGATAAATTTGGACAAGGAAAATTCTTTGAAAGCATATGCATGTGGTCTGTCATCCAAAGATTGTTTGGAACTGTCATGCAGGTACTCACTGTCCATGTGCTGATGTGCTCTTTTCCCCATCCTCAACCTTTCCCTCTTCAACAGTAAGGTGCTCTGTTGAGGGGCAGTGCTGGCTATGTTTTGCCCTTACATGCTTTTGCTCTAAGTTGAAAGGCAACAAGACAGCTCGCTATATCACAGGGTATGACAAAAGGGAAGATTTATTTTGATTTCAAATGATAGGATATATGTGCGTGTCAATTACATCTTTCAGAGAACTTCAGGTACTGCTAAGTAATCTTTGCTTCATAATTGAAGTATCCTTTAAGAACATGTTTTCCCATCCTGGAACTTGGTGACAAACATATTGTACCTCAGCTAACTTCTGTAATATGCAACAGAAGCATCAGTCTTAGGGATGAACAGACTTCTTCAAAGAGTTTTGATTCATTCCTAGACAAGGTTCTTTATGTGTGCTGGATGGTGACTGGAGACCTCTGAAAAATTACAATGGTTGTGTAGTTAAAGATGAGTGTGATACATATGCAGAAGAGTGTAAGATGCCAATTATTGCATTTTCTCATTTTATTTTAGCATTGTAACACTGCAAGTATTTTTTTGGCAGAGTTACTGTTTGTGGTTATAATTAATTAACAGGAAATTTGTAGACGTTGTATTGTGAGACATTTTCAACGAATTGTAAGATATCTCAAGGTAGAAAGCTGAGACTCAACTTCAGCTGAAGGTCCAGTTTTGCTTTGTGATCTTTCAAGAATTTGATCCTGCGTATGCATTTATAATTTTTTGCTTTGCATAACACAGAAACTTTGAGGAAGCCTATTCAATGGATGAACTTAAAGGTAGCAGACAAACTGAGAGCTGACGTTATGGGACCCATTTTTTCTTCAGTTCTTATTGTTAAGCTGCTCTTCTTTCAAGATGAGAGCACTGTAAGAACAGAAATATGCTACCATGTACAACTAACAGGAAAGGAGCTGTTGTCTGTGCAAAGCAAAAGTACAATCCAATTTTGGCAGAGTGGACTTAATTTTCTCCTGGCTTTTGGTGATTGCTTTTTCACTAAATGCAGTGCCTTATAGCTGAAGGTTTTTTTTAATCTGTGATTTAGGTCTTTAGTTTAGATCTTTGTCTCATTTAGGCCTGAGCAGATTTTGCAGACTTGCAGAATTATCGATCAGCTTTTCCAAATTTTTTTTAGTGTGCTTTATCATTCTGTAGCATATATTTTGATTTCTGATCATGGTCCTATTACAAATCAATTTGCAGCATTTTCATGTGCTGCTGAGGGCCTTTATGGATTGTTTCCATTGCTGGAATTGTTTGGCACCACATGGGCAATCTGATGAAACCATGCAAAAGGCAAAGCTGGGAGACAGAACTGTATCAATTCACAAAACCAAGAGAAACTGTTCCTGCTAAGAAATAAGGAAACATCACCCTTTCTGTGTGTGCAGGAACACAAGGCTTCTTGGAAGAAATTACTGAATATATGAAGCAATATGTGCTGAGTAACAAGTCTAGTGGAATTAAAGCTCCTGAGAAAAAAGCTAGCAGCCCTTAGGAGCTGGAATGTTAGCTCTGGTTTGTTTATCACCCATTATACAAAACCTGTAGTGAGCATGCATTATACTTAAGTATAACAAATTAAGTATATAACTTAAGTATACTCATAAAAATTAGTGAAGTCTAAATTCCCTTTACTTGATTTAGTTTGATGTACTGTGGGAAGTGTAAGAGTTTTGATTGACTGATCTTCCTCTGTCCAATGTAGGTGCAATTTCACCTTGAAAATATGTGGCAGGCTTGTACTCCTCTTTAAGGCCAGAAGGGTTCTGCATTCTAACAAATCTGCCCCGTATCATAGCCTTGCCTTTTGTTCCATGATCTTTTTCCCCCTTCCTTCTCACGTGTGTCCATTTGCACAGCTCCCTGGGAAGTTTTACAACAGGACCTTCCATAGATTTGCAGCTGCATACTTACAATATAACATTCGTGTTAGTACAGGACAGTTGAAATCAATTTGTAGGCTTGGTCCTCTTCTGAACTCTTTCCTTCTGACTTCCAAGACTGTAATCTTGGAAATGTTTAGATTTGGAATAAACTATCACTGTGGCAAAAACATCAGTCCTGCCTTTGTGCTCTCCTGACGCTGTTGGGTTTGCCAGCTAAGCTCTCTGTGCAGTAAGCCAGATCAGGAGACTGATCTGACTGAAAAATACTTCCTCTACCTTATTTAAGATTTAAGCTATATGTTAACTTCATGTATTTTTCTCTTCCTAAAAAAACCATGGTTAAGTAACTTTGGAGCTCCTCACAGTACAGAATATTAAAAACTTAGAAGAAACAATTTGTGGTGACTATAATTCTTACTATTTTTACTTTGAGAGGAGTAATGTAGACCCTATTTAACACTCCTTAATGTATCACAGGAATGTGGGTGTTTTTTGTTTTATTCTTTTTAACATCCCGGGAACAATTTTCAGTCTGGCCTCATATTTTACAAATACAATAAAATTCTTCTAACCTGCCGCACATTGCAAAATATTGGATTGCCTTATACCAAAGTGAAGTATTTTGTTAGATATATCACTTTTAGATATGTTTGATATAACACTTTATTTTTTTTACCCACCCCCCAAGACTTTTAGTCTTCCTGGGCATAAATTTTCTTTCATATGCTGTGTTGACACGCATGTATTGATCCTTTTGGGAAGGTGAATAAATTCATTTTTAAACAGCATACAAACATTGGTTTTCTCAGCAGCAGTCAAAGGCCTTTGGGTACTGCTGCTTCTGGTATAAAGATTTTAATTTTTATTCCCCCAAGCAAGAGTATTATCTTGTTTCAACCAGCATGTGGAAAACTGTTCCGGGAATTTTGAGAACACAAGCATGATACTGAAGGTTTTAGCATCATATTCTGAACTAAAAACCCTGTCAAGTATCTGTGATCTTTTACATACTTTTGGTTTGCCTTTTTAACGGTAGTGATGAAATTAAGTAATGTTTTCTAAAAACTGTCTGACTACAATGGGAAGATGGGCCATTTTGTTATGCTGTCCCACTGCATTCAGCACTGTAGATATCAGTGAGCCAGTCATCAGTAAATCTCTGTAAAATTTTTCACAAACTTTTTGAAAGTGGTTATTTTTACAGACCCATTGTATTTTTATTATTTTGTAATTACATGAAAACAGAAGATGAACTGCAGCAAAACAGCAAAAATGAGATATTCAAACAATACAAACCCCTTACTCAGGTTTTTGAGTACCCTATTCTGAAAGCGTGTCATCTCCTATCTTGTATTTTGTTTTGACTTGCTTCTAATGTATTTTTTTTTAAAGCACTGAGATTTGTGTTAGATGTATGAAAAATATGTTGGTACTTTCTGGGGCAGATATACCTGCTGGTTTGTTGAGCATTGCTTGCTTCTGCTCTGTGTTATGGAAGCACTGTGACAGACAGCAGATGATAAAGCTGAAAAACAAATATATCTGAACTCTGAAGTAATGCCACTTCTCCAGTAGATACATTATTACATCTGTATTTCCAACTTACTTAAATATTAATATTTGCAATTAACTATTTTTTATATGTGTATTTTCAGAAATATTGCACAACTTCTCTGTCTATGCTGTTGAGAGCAGTAGTTAAAAATAGAGTATAATTTTAACAGCTGTGGAGGCTTATCTTTATAAATTTCTTCTGTAATATAAAAAGAATGTATCAAAAAGAAAAATAGAACTGCATTTTGGAGTTCTCTAAAATGAGAAATGAGCCTGTGCTAGCAAATGATTAGTCTGTAACAGTCTCTTTCCTTTTTTTTTTTTTATTTTATTTCCTTCTAGGACCGGAATAGGCCCTATGACACTTTTAACTTGCACTCTTTGGAAAATTCCTTAATGGATATGATAAGGACTGATCATGAGCCTCTGAAAGGTAAACACTACCCTCCCAGTGGCCCACCAATGAGTTTCGCTGATATAATGTGGAGGAATCATTTTACAGGTTAGGAATATTCATATGTCCATGCTTGCTTGGTTTTTAAACAAAAATCAGCTTTTCAGTGTTGCTATGAACTTTCTGCTAATGAATGAGTTGTCAGCTATGTAATACTTCTGTTTCCCATCTTAGGATAATCATCTCTATAGTAGGAAGATAAGGTGAAATGTGTATCGCTTGGTGTAAGTGCGCAATCATAATATTATCTAACAACTGTCATTTCTGAAACTTTGTGCATCACCGAATCGCACTGTTCAGTTCACAAAATGAGTAGTATGAGGTGTGCAACTGGAGTCCAATTATATTGAAAAATCTTGTACAGCATTAATGTTACTGTTGTTTACAGATCATCAGCTAATATACGGGGATCTGAAAGTGTCACTGTGTCAAGCTTACTCTCCATAATTATTTAAGGATGGTTTTTAAAAATGTATCTTGATTTGGATTTCAGAATGATAGGAGGCACCAACAAGTATTAGGTGTTGTTCAGCATTAAGAAAGTTTGCTTATTTATGCTACTGAAGTGTATTTGTTCTACCAGATGTAGCAGTGGAGATAAAAATTATTTCTAGTGTTTAGCTGATACAGAATAGTGAAAAGTTGCACAAGCATTTAATGAATCCTAATTGCCTGTCACAGTTCTGTCTTCATCTTTCATTGGTTACATTTCAAAACAGGAATACATTCTTGCTCACAAACTGCTAGTTTTTTTTCCTTGAAGGACTGAGGCTGATAGTAGGCTGTGTGCTAGGGGACACTGAACTAGAAACAATTCCCGAACTTTAACATACTGGAACTGATAGAGAAGGAATTGTTTTGTATAATTCTTCCTATGCATACACATACCTTTCTGATGCAACAATTACCTCAAACATTCCAAACTCAGGTTAAAAGAGTTGAGACTCTGTAGCTGTGCTTTCCTCAATTATTCTGCGCTATAGCCTTCATACTTCTGCCTTTAACTATTATTCATCTGTCTAAAATGGCAAGAAATATCCACATCTCTATTCTGATCGTATTCCTCCAACATAAATGTTAATTTTAAAAAAATGTATATATATAGAGATTTCTGCTTTATACACATTCCATGACTGGTATTTTCCATGTACATTTTAAAATGAAGTAAATTCATAATCAACAGCAAAATTACTATGAAGAAGATTTAATTGTTCTATTGATTTGATTAGCTCAACACAAGTGTTTTTACTTTAAGTATAAATTTAAACATATGAATTGAAGCTGACTTTTTTAAAGGCTGAATTTTCGTATGATCCTGAGAAAGAAAAAAGTGAGGAAGACTATTAGAAATTGTGTTACTCTAGAAAAACACTTTAAAATCATAGAAAGCAATATGGCCTTTACTTTATTATTGTCCCTTAACAACAGTTTTAAAAACGTTTTAGATAAGAGTATTAGCCAATGAAATAACAATGGTACAAATACTTAAGTATTTGGTCTTGTTGACTCATTCTATCACAAAGCTGAGTCCGTTAGTGTTGGTGCTTTGTTGTTGCCTCAATGCATGAGATAACATGAGATTCTTGGCTTTATTAAGCATCTTCTTGCTTTTCAATCAAAGTAGCTTTTTGAAAGTAAGTAAATAAATCATTTTCACCTCTTTGAGGTTGTTGACTTGTGTAGGAGGCTGTACAGTTTAACAAGATACTTGGAAGCAGTAGGAACAGTTTTCCCTGTACTCAAACCAGTAAACAAAGGAGTTGGGTATTAACTGTGAAGTTTTAGTTGATCTGTTCCACTTGCCAACAGGATTGTTACCTTTACTCTAAGGAGAGTTTCTGTCGCTTTCTGAATGTGATCTTCTTGACATATTTTCCGAGTGCTGCTCACCTGTTTCAGCCCTCCTGCCTTGTTACTTACTGCTCTTCCAGGCCAGTAACTTCTGGAGAATTCTTGTTTACTATTAGATCTCTGATTCCATCTCTGCCCAGCTGTTGTTTTCCCATTGATGTAGTTAATTCTTACCCTTGCTTTCATCTTCTCCTCCCTCCAAGTGCAGGAATGACTTTGCTAACCTCCAGCCTTTGCTTTACCTTGTGTGCACTTCCCTCTGCTCCAGTTCTCACACTGTGCAGTGCAACTGACAATGTTTGTAAGAGTGGCTGTTTCAGGACATGATCATTTTATCCTCCTACAAGTGCTTTCTTCCCCTGTGTTAAATAGCTCTGCAGTACTATTTTAACTGATTCCTTTTTGTTTAGAAACAAAAAGCAATAACAAATAAACCTGCAAAATTATTCTGCTATTGCATTGTCATGGTCTTTTCAGTGAAAATTGGTCTTGACTCTTCTCCTGCATCTCCGACTTTCTCCTTCTCCACATCCACAGACAGTGTTTTCAACTGTCCTTCTCTGCTCCTCCCTCAGATTTCACTTCATTTTGGCTTTATTCTTATCTATCCCACACTCCTCTTACTCTCACACACTATCAACACACTTTAGTTTGAGAAAATAACTGATCAACTTTGCTTGCATTTGCTTGTTTCACCAGCCACTGCCCCATTTTTATTTATTTTCATCTCTTAAGTTTTTTGAATACTGTGTTTATGTACTTCAGTTTGAATTTTCAGTTCCTCATAGGCATTCCTCTGTGAATGCTTCTTTGCTAAATTAAAACTGCTACTTCTGGAATTTTAGTAATCGGCACTTAGAGCTACTTCTTCTTTGCTTTGTCTTTCATAGTGAATTGTGTGTTTTAAAATTTTCCCTTCCTCTAAGATCTGTGACCGTCTTTTCTTAGATTTTGCACAGTGTTTTCATGCATGTGTAGAATGTAAAACAACCACAAAATAAGTAAATAATAATAAATAAAATAAAATAAAATAAAAACACCAAAAAGCAGAACCACAAACAGTGTTCATTTTTTGGTAAATGAGCTTTGTTTTCTCAAACAATTTTGGCTATCTGCACTTACAAGTCAGTTGACCTTATTAGTTGTTTTAATATTTACTTTTAAAGGTTTTTAAATGGAAGAAATAAGGTGAGAAATGGCAAAAGCCTCTGCCTTGGAAAACATGGGAAGGTTTCATTCTAGAAAAGCTGTACAGTCTTAGAACCTTTAATGTGAGTTACGAAGTCAGTGCAGCTATTTCAGGATCATTCCAGCCTGCTGCTGTCAACAAATATCTATTTATAAAAGTATTCTGTGTACTATTTATTAATTAGTGGAATATTGCCAGTGATTTATCTGAAGTTTGAAACATTGCTTAGATCATAGCCCCTCTTGGCATGTGTGCCCCCACCTTCCTCTCCCAACATCTTAACAGACACTTGAACCAAAAAAATAACTGTTATGTAACAAAGGCTCTTAATTAGAATATGGATAGGAAAGTTAACAGGGAAAGATTCTGACGTGAAGAGCAGACTGAGATGGTTCTGGTCTCTTGTTATTTCTGAGTAGGTCAGTTCTGTGTGCTCCACTTTGTTCAGTGAGGGAGAAGTTCAGGGCTGTGAAAAGAAGTCTGTCCTCTTATTTATAGTAGTGGAAGCTTCATTGGATTTAAAGGTGTGTATATGATCAGATTTTATACTGCAGGCCATGAAAGTCAACAGTTTATTTCAAGGTTGTTGAAGCAGGTCACTTTTCTCAAAGCAGGATCCGCTTGGCTTTGAGATAGCATGTGATTTGGTGGCTTTTTTTAGTGTTGGTGCAACTATGGAATAAGAGAAATGCTGGAGAATTTTAGTGCAACAGAAATGAAGTGATCCTTGGTCTCACAATATTCAATTACTTGACAGAGTACAAATTCAATCTGATTGGCAGGCTTGCTTGGTCCTCTCCAGCTAGGGTCACTTAGTTCTCTTCGGGTGTTTCATGCTGTAAGAGAGATTTGATATCTAACTCAGAGGTTCCTGGACTTAGGTGAATTAACAGCTTATCCTTCTATGTTGCAATTTATCTTGAGCCCAGCCTTGGAAGTTTTCCAGCATCAGCTCTTGCTGTTTTTCTGTCTGAAACCAATTCCTCTCCCCTCACCCCCAGCTTTTCCCGCCAGATAGGAATACCTTGCTTGTAGGGTTCTTCCTCAGTCTGGGAGCTGTGTAAAGGCTGTAAACTCTCTATAAAGAAGTTTCATTTTCTTCCTCATCCAAGACACTCAGGTGGGCTACCTTACCTGCTTTCTCTGCTGTCAAATTTTTTTTCAATATTTTTTTCCTCTTTCCATCTATATTCAAAAGATTTTTCTCTTTTTGTAAAAATGAGGGAAAAATTAGGCAAAAGGTAGAGCAAGAGGACTGATGAGGTTCCTCTGGTTAAAGATAAATTACTGCATATGACCAAGGACATCCGGCTTTGTGTCAGTCATGACCCAGCCTATGTGGCAGAAGCAGTATTTTGAGAAGGCTTTTTCTGAGTTGCTTGTCTTATTTTTCTGAGCTACCAATAAAATATACAATACCAAAACACAATCTTTATTTTTTACAGAGGAAAAACATATTTGCAATAGTCCATAACCTGTTGGTATACATGTCCTGCTTCTACCTAATTCACTTTTGCCTTACAGTGTTATCAGAATGTGAGTAGTTGCTACTTATTAGTGGCTAAAATGTTTCTTTCTTCAAAAAGTTCTTTCTTCAGTCAGAGTCTCTCCTATGGTGTAATGTGTCACTGTTGCAATATGTTTATCTGTGTCAAAATATTACATTGCAACACAGAGACATTCTAATCTATTAGATATATTTTGATCAGTAGTGACTAGCAGCTGCCTTTGTTCTATTTTTAAATAATTAAAATATTTCATCTGTTCATATGTTATGCACATGTGCTCCCACAGATCACGAAACTGAATCAAAATATGAAATTGAGGGGGGACATCATAGCCTTGTTAAACATTTGTTTTTAATATTTACTTTTATGGTGGAATAACTGTAATATCTGTCTTTTTTCTTAGTAAGACATTTTGCAATATGCAAATCTCCAAGTAAGCAAAAATTTGGAGGCTTTATCCAGTAATGGTTGATGTATCTCCAAGTATGAGTATTTGGAGA